TTCAATGATAACATAATACTGAATTTAAATCAGAAATAAAAATTATATCAAACTCAGTTAACAAAAATTTAAATATCATAACTAATGTTAAAAACACACAAATTTTTTTGTTTAACAAAAATTATTTTAATGTATTCTTTTATAGTATATATCTCACAAAATATATAAAAATATACCATTATATATATATATTATATTATTTTATCTGACGTCGAAGATTATAATAAATAAAATGCACATATGTGTGAAACAACATATCTAAATTATCCATTAATTTATATTACGTAAAAAAGGATGTTAAAAGAGGCAGATTTTGACAAAAAAAAGTGTGAGTAAAAGGAATAATATTTTTTGTAGATTTTGGATACAATAAATCTATTAAAAAGTTCGTGAGATTTAAAGAACACCTTAAAAATTGCAAGAACATAATATATTTATAAAAATTTGGATAATATATAGAACTAATACTTACATAAAATACATGTAATATGTCATACATGTCGCTATTTCGTTAAACAACCATCTCGTACGATTTATACACATATGCTTTACAACATATACAGATACAATTTACAAAATGTTAATGGAGGGTGAAAGAGTAAAAAGTAGAGTCCGACCGAAATTTCTATTTCGGTTTCAGTTTAGGTCAGTTTCGATAAAAAACAGAGTTTCGGTTTAATTTCGACCGAAATAAGAGAAAATTTCGGTGGGTAAACCGAAACTGTGCAAATTGCAACGCGTCGATGAGCGTTCAAAACAAAATTACTATTCCATTATTAATTTGTTGATTAAGCTTAAGACAATTTGAGTACAAACTTTGATGTAATCCTAATAGTGATTGTGATTTGATTTCTTTAAAAGTTAAAGATGCAATATTATTATATTATTTTAGTTAGATATTTTAATAAAATCCTATTTTTTTGAAGAGTACATAAATTCCATGATTTTTTAAATAAATTTATCGTATCCAGATTAAAATTTACAAAATAAGGTCTATTCCTTTTACTTAAATGTTTTTGGGTCGAAATTGGCTATTTTTAACATCTTCTTTTAATTCCTTTTTTAAATTATGATTATATTATTATATTGGAGCAAATAAAAAACATATCACTATTGTGTTACTATTTGAATGTTAATATTTGCTCGATCTACTTGTAAAAGGATCCATATTACAAAAAATTATTTTCTACCTCTTTCTTTTTCTAACTATCATATATCTCTCTATGTATGCTGTATATATTACTAACATATTTAAGATAATTAAATTAAGAACTATCTGTAAAATTGTCTACAAAATATGTATGTACTACATGTTACTTCACAAAATCAAGTTTATTTATTTTTCGATAACTTATTGGTTTAACGCCACGTTGTAACATTATTTATTATACAAACCCATAAATAAACTATATATAGTCTTATTTTTGCTTTGTAATGAATGTTAATTTAGATTAGTATTGTAGTGCAATCTTAATTATTAATACAGATTTCCTTTTAGAATAATGCAACATCCTCTATACAATGTAAAAATATATATAATCCATATAATCCATAAATATAAAAACCTATTTTCAAATAATATAATTAAGTGTATTATTATATTGTAAAAATTTTTAGCAAAAAGATCAAGATTTATTTTGTGACGGGATCAAACTCAATCCAAATCAAGATACTTTTATCGCTTAGGATGATTAGGAATGGATTAGGAGTGAGACGAAACCTTTCGATATTTTGATAATGATTTATTTTTTACACACTTAGTTGACCTCTATACACAACTATACAACGATGAAAATTAAATTTCTGTCTATTTACTGCTAAGGTCATCGACTTGATAATGACTTGTGATAGAGATGCAATAAAGTCAGTCGATTCTTTTCCGATTCACGTGAACCTGAAGAATCGGGCGACGTCTGCGGACAGTACGATTCGAATTAACTTTTGCGCGAAATATCTAAACGTACGATCAGCAGAGGCCATATATGTTACAAATCACCTGTAAAGAGTGACGCCCGCGATTGCCGCAAATTAAAAGGACGTCAACCTCCACTCGCTGAAGTCTATCTACACACGCATGATAAATTAAATAAATACAGGAATTGTTCTTCGCTTAAGGGAAGGTATCACTATCACCAAGGACACCGATCGGAGTTCTCGTATCATTTGGATCCGAGAAGAACGGGGAGGAACATTCCAGATGGCTGCATGCGGATAAATTGGCGTATTGCTAACGGAGAAACGAATTCAAATATTCTGTTTTTTACCCATACATTACAGTTGAATGCTTGATATTCCACAGATATATTCTCACATTATGTATATTTGATTTTAAATTTTACATGTATTTTATACAAACGCGTAGATAAATTACATCACCATCATACATTTCACGTTTTTATGTAAGAAAATCAAACATACCGTGACGTTCCAAATTTTTATCTTTCGCCCCAAAGACTTCTACGTAAGAATGATAAAATAAGTCGAATTTTAAATAATTCGATTCATTCGTACAAAGATCTCAGATAAAGTATTAGCAATATGTCAATTTAATCATGCAACAAGAGATGAAGATGACCGAAATAGAATAATAATTCTCCTTTTATGCGCTAAAAGAATGCTCGACGACGAGGTATTGCACGAAGCATTCGAAAAAAAGGAACCACAAACACTCTGACAAACATCATTAAGGTCTTCCGTCCCACGTCGACGACAGGACGAAATCGAGAAGGGACGCTTTCAACGCGCGCCCGTATTTTTGTACATTAAAAATCGTATACGTTCGTAGTGATACATCGACAATTGCCTATCTGTTACTCCATATTTATCGTTTAGGTTTACCTAGGTCTACCGTAAATTCGTAACTAGAATAGTCGACTTTTCGTAGCCGTGCTCGCAATCTACCACCGGTGCCGCTTTGAAATATCCTGCGCGGACCAATGTCGCCGTCAGAAAAAAATTAACGGCCATCCCGAAATATATCACAATGTCCATGTATACTCATGTTCGATCGTAATGTTGACGTTATACTTATTACATTATTATTGTTATTATTAATATTATTATTATTATTATTATTATTATCGTTGTATAATAATTATTATTACTATAATTATTGTTATTATTATTATTGTTGTTATTGTTATTAGACGTATACTTTATTTACAAAACTTACGTTTCGATGACAACAACGGAACAATGTATACATATAGTGTGCCATAAAATTCTTCAAGAAAATAATACACGAACGTAATGCTAATCTGCATTCATCATCAGAACGTTTACCATCAGAAACACGACGAATTATGTGTCCTACTGTTTTGAATTTATCAAAGGAAGCAAAAGAAAATCGTTCAACGCATCTCCGTAAAAGAATTTATTTTATTATATTTCTTACGACAAAACGTCGTCTCTGCAAATCGTGTACGGAACGTAAAGTCGACACGAGAAAGACTAGCTTTATGTTGCGCGTATTAACATCTCTAACATAGCTCTTTATTTCGCAACAGAATCATTGAGTCGCTTTATTCTCATTATTTTAGTATAAAAAACTCGGAATAAATTGTTATTATGTAATTTTGTAACCGTAAAATGTGAGTAAATTTTACAACATATGAATTTTCAATCGTTATTAACGCGATAAAAAGTTTCATCGTTTAAGTTTAAGATCATTTTGAAAGCAATTCCCATTTCTCCCGTTCATACAAAAGATAAAAAATTATTTTTCCAAACAGACATTCTTTCTCGATTGTTTGTATGCAAGGATTCTATCGCGACTCTTAGAAACCGGTTTTTCGGACAAACTCTGTCGTTCGAATGAAAATGTAAGCACCGAAATTTTATTTCATTTAAAAAAATACCGTTTTCGAAACAGAAAAACTACAAACCTCTGCGTGCACAGTCTCAGAAACAATTGCGACGCGTTGCAGATCAAACGGCCTACGAATAAGAGCGATCGACAGCTCCGTCGCAGTTGCGAGCAATGGTAATTGCAGTATTGATACAATAATAATATACCCTATCACGTCAATATTTTTACTATATTTACACAATGTCGTATATATGTAATACTAAGATAACTTGTCGTATACATCTCATTGCACCTCGCCACATCTTCCGCATTGACCTCCCATGACTCGAAAATACAATGTGCATTTTTTTCCCTGCGTTTTCCCCTACGCACTGTCGTGCCCCAATAGGAAGTGCCCCAATTCCCGTGGGAGAAGAAATAGGTGTAAATAAGAATTACGTGACGGAAACCCACGCCCTAATCAGTTTGTCACACTCATCGGAAATGCAGTTAAATAATTTACAATTAGCGAGGCCTTAATCTCATCGACGTTTCTTTAGCGCGAGCGCAGACACTCGAAATGCTTCTAACGAGGGCAAAACGACCAGAGTTTAACGACTGCATTATAGCCGCGACAAATCCCTGCCCTCGCGCAGTATGATAATCGAATTAAATTACTTCAGCGATTTCATTCGGAAGAAGATAAATTACAAATACATTACATGGAGCCAATCGAACGTCCGACGAACTTGGACGTAATTATATTAATATATCCGTGAAAGCCACCCGGTTCCTTTTACCAGCGCACAGCGCCAACCCAAGAGTTTATTTGCGGAGTATTAGTAGGTAATTTGTATGAGTTTATGGTAATTTTCTCCTTTTAAGACTTCGCGTCGCAAAATTCATTAATCTGCACAAATCACAATTCGTTCCTTTCTTTATCGACAGCTCTTTGTAATTATTAGGACAGTGTTCCATCGCTCGTAAAAACAGCTGCAATACTATGACGGATCATATTTTAATCATTGATATTCGGAAATACTTGGACTCATAATAATTGCAGCGGTTATATAATATAGTAACCAAAATGCTTGGATTTTATAATGAAATCGGTTCTACAAAAAATATCAGTTATTACTGTTATTAAATATTTAGAGCTGTCATGATTAGGATAAATTTTTAACGATACTGAGCAAAATCCATTTTCGTTTTATTGAATAATTCTACATCGACCGCTGTGTAACGTTGAAAATCTATTTAGAAATAAAACTTATTAGCTTTTCGCGAATTGTTTGAATAAAAAATCTCACTAATATCAATGATTTGCGCAGCTAAAAGGTAGTTTATGCCAATGATTCAATTTTCTCCGCAAAATATCATATAACGTTTTACGCCTGTTGCTATTTAAGACGTATTTGACTAGACACTACATGTTGGAAATATTTACCCGTTAATTCCCTATTAGGAAATCTTGAACGTGCAATTTTAATTGCTACAACTCCGTCATATACATCAATTCTTCTTTACAGTTATGGCGTCAAGTCGATGGTTGGCCCGGTATTAGCATCAGTAGGACACATTTGCAGAAACTGTAATCTACGTTATGTGTCACAATGGTCCTGGGAAGGCTATGATAATGAGAATCTATATTGCGCAAATTGTCCCTGTCGATAATGCCAGCAATTTCGATCCTCTACCCTGATTTTACCCTCAGCGCTAATTTATAGAAGAGTACTCCTTTCGTGGATTCTCCATATAACTGATATTTGTTTCTTTTTGGAGATAAAGCAACTGATATTTTTTTTTTATATATTATAAAGTTCACGTAAAAACATGATAGAAATACTGCGCGCCGCGTTAAATTTTTGTAATCGCCGAATCATTACCGCTCCGTTAAAACATCCGAAATTATCTAATTATCTAACCATTCTAATTCCGTCATTATTAATTGCTATTGCCTCATTGGCTTTAAATTCAAAGGGATAAACGATTTTGGACCTCCATCGAATTTGAATCGTTCTAATATCGTCGATCTTGACCTCGCCACATTTTTTTAACCTTTAAATTTACGATAGCCAACTAGATAAATCTCTTCGATCGCGCTTGCTCTGCGCTCTTGCTCTTCTACAGAAACAAACGCAGTCGATCTTGCGATTGCCGTTGACAGAACAGAGAGGAGTACTCGTTCCATGGATTATGGTAAGCTTCTACCGGCCGGCAGTTTTTTCCTCCGTGGATACCGAACGTCGAAGAGACGGTTCAAACGACGCCTTGATAAACAGGACTGTACTCCATATCGTGGGTATACTGAGGTGGTCCTGGCGGCGGCGGCTGTGGACTGTACTGTTGCGAGGCGTCCGAGGCGCGACGCCTGAGCGCCGCGATGCTGTGGGCGCCTCTCCAATCCGATCCTTCGTTCGTGCTCACGTCGGCCACGCAGGAAACGCCGCCACCTCCGGTACCGCCGCTGCCGCTGCCACCGGTACCGGAAGTCGTGCCCGGAGAACCCTGACCGCAGTTCAAACCTGAGCCCATCCCGGCTTGACCACCCACCGAGGAACCCACTGGTGGCGAACCTCGGGACGCCGATACGTGAACACCACCTGAATAGAAGAGAATCGGATTAATGTTTTCTTTGTGATTCTCAACTATCAAGTGTTCTAACTATCAAAAATTATATTGAGAAAAAAGTATCTGGTACTTGTAACTATAATCGCATGGTAAAAAGTTATGATTAGAACTCCGTTTTTACAGTTATTACTGCTATAATGTTAATAACAATAATTATATTTATAAATAAGTAATAAATAGAAAATGGACCAACAAATGAATAATAGATGAGAGCAATAATGTAACCTATACAGTATTACAAAAAAGTTTAACCACAAAATTTTGTGTTTATTAAATACAGGTAGCAAGCTGATGTTATTTGTTATCATTTTGCCATCAAAATAACGATGAACAACTGTAGCTACTTGTAGTAACGTATATTTAGAAAAAAAAAACAAATTATCGAGTATTATAATAACATATTGTTAAGTATCAAAAATATTCTGCACTGCAAAATTTTCGTCGATTGTGATGAACTGAAGACTGCTCTATTGATTGCCTACGAGAATTTATCCATGGAAGGATGTACAGTCATCATGGATGCATTTCCGAAGCGTCTTAAAGTTTGTATCAAAGCTAAATGTGGCCATTTTAAATATTAATTTTTATTTAATATTTCATAACATATAATTAATATTATTGAGTTTTTGTTTATATATGTTATACCAATGATTTGATAAGCACCAAATTTTATGACAAAATTTTTTTTTATTTGATATTCACTCTCTGTATTCAATGAAGAAATTCCAATATCAAAAGCAAATCTTGCAAATTGAGAAAATGTCTGGTTGAAAATGGATGAATTAAATTATATCAATCAAAATTCTAGTTACCTCAATTGTAATAGATTTAACCAGAAAATTCTGATTCGTCCATTTCCAACCAGATTTCTTTTGCAGTGTAGTGTTTAATATTTATATATAAAATTTAAAATACATTTTATTATATATATATATATATATATATATATATGTGTGTATATAGTTGTATTTAAAAATAAATAGTTGGCTTCAAAAATAACTATAAACTCACATAGAGAAATAAAGCTTTCTACTGTTAAGAAAAATGATTATTCAGTTCGCTTTTTTTCCTTTAAGTAAAAATTATCTTTAACAAAGTTTCTTTTTTTCTTAATAGCTTTAAAATATGTTTATTATGAGTTTTAAAAGAAAGTAAGAGAGAGAGAGAGAGAGAGAGAGAGAGAGAGAGAGAGAGAGAGAGAAAGAAAGAGAGAGTGAGAGAGAGAGAGAGTGAAAGGAGAAAAAAATATTATGTACTCAAAGCAAGAATTTCTTTTCTTCTGAAAAATATTATAAAATTTTATCAAAGAAGCAACTTTATATAAAATTTTCAAAAAGATATTTCAGAAAACTAGTACTCTTTTTAAGATTATAATAAACTATTATAATCTTATAGTTTTATATTTGTTATCTGATTTTGGCTCTAATATTGATCTGTCTTCATTGTTTTAAATCCAAATTTATTTTAATTTAAGAGTATTCTAAAGACAATTAGTTATTAAAAATGCACTTATACGCAGACGATTTACGTGAAACGTTACATCAACATCTCACTCATGCACATCACGCATACATAAATTTTCGTATAACAATTACGTTTTAATTGATGTTTAAATCCAATTTTAAGAACTTCAAACTGTTTTTTCATGCAAACTACTAGTTTGTGGACTATAATTTCGTAAGTACAGATTGCTTTTATATGAAGTAAATGTTGTCATAACGTGACAACTCTGGAGCGCCATGTTAGACTAAAAAATGGTAAAGAAGATCTCAATTTCAAAATTTTTTGTCGTTCTCAATACAGACTCCACCTCACAGGTGTATTTATGCGTATACTTTAATCCCCTGAAGAAGAATTTTCAAATCAATAAGAGAGGAAAAAAGTAATTGTTATACAAAAATTATATGGTTTAGTATTCGGTAATACAGACTTTAGGATCCCTTTAATTGTCTCTTTAATTAGAAGTATTAAACTTAATAAGATTTAGAAATATTTTAAATTTTGATGCTTGTGATGAATTTATACGATAGAGTATTAATGAAGGGCAATGAGCCAAACATGCTATTAGTGTAACAAATTCTGATATCATTTATTTAAAGTCCCAAACATTTTGGTTCTCACAGAATCGTCCTTAGTGAGTACTTTTTTTAAAATATTTGAAACTCTAAATATAAAATTGTAATAAATAAATCAAAATTTGTTATAAAGGGTGTTTTTTTAAGCCCGATAGATTTTTTTAAGCCCGATAGAACTTAAAATTGTAAAAAATAACACAAAAATTAAATTATAGTAAAAAAATTTTTTTTAGTCGAAAGATCAATGCATGGCATTAACATTTGAAAATGATTTCGGGCATATGGCCACCGCGGCTGTTTAATTTAATTTTTTGTTTTATTTTTTACAATTTCAAGTTCTATCGGGCTTAAAAAAACACCCTTTACTAACAGTGCGTTCAGCTCATTGTCCTTTATTGATACTTATTTGAAATTTTTAAGTTTTTGGAGATTCTATATGATAGATGTAATTTTATATGATAGATTTACAGATATAAATTTTTGAAGTATTTGAAAATAATTAGTATTTGAGAATAAATGTACAGAATGTATTTTTCTCTGTGTTTATAATTACGTTAAATTATGGTGATTGCATTCATTTTTTCTCGGTGTATCTTTTGTGACTTTGTAAATATACGTTTTCTAACAGTTTGTAATGATTCCTAAGCGATAAATGTAATTTTTTTATAAATAGTAAATAACAAAAACAAAGAACAAATATTTATTATGATACAGTCAATCACGAATCCACTACCGCGGACGAGGCAGTACATCCCCGAAAGGGGGAAAAGAGTCTTCAGGTAGAAAAGAGGTAATTTACAGGTGCAGGAGAGCGAACGTTTCGTTTCTCCGCTGTAGAAGATATTAATACAGTAGACTGACAAAGCGTATGGGGTGCGCTACCGGCCGTCGTAAAGTCGTTTCCTCCTCGCGCGCTACGCTGGTGGGCTCGAAAGACAACGGCGGGAAAAAAGGATTTTTCTTTTTTTTTATGACGGTACTGTGCCGGGCACAAATTTGCAGAGGACTATGGCAGCGGCCGCTTTTGAAAAGCCATTCGGAAGAATGGACGTCTAATGGCGACGATGTACGTGATTTTATGACCGGTAGAGTCGGGCTGTCAAAGAGCGGTGTCCACCGCGATTCACCGCGCACAATCAATGAAGTTTGATTCTACACCAAACAAACGACCGAGCCGAAGGCAAATGAAACTAAACGTGCAATACATACGCAATTTGGCACGTGTATTTCTATTTTTCAGAGTAAATACAGAGATCATCGGCGCGCGTATCTCACTAAAATTTGAACTGTTGCACGAGTTACTAGCCGATTTTTATTCTCGAATAAGATATTGCGACTCGTGCACCATTCGCGGTAGCACGAGTTGAAAATCGAGCGTTTTGAAACTCGATAATTTACGTATTATCGAGATTTGTTTGCGCCAGTCTGGCATGGTCCGCGAAAGAGTGAGTGAGTGAGTGAGTGAGTGAGAGAGAGAGAGAGAGAGAGAGAGAGAAGTCAAATGGAACTTCTCCGATTAACTAGGAACCACACCACGCCGCGTTGTTGGCTTACATTGCGGTGCTAATCATCCATTGGTAACCGAAAAATAACGCTCTAGTCTAAAAGCTATTTGCTCTAAGTATTATCCGCAGATAAAAGCATGTAGCTGAGACTGCGGATTCACTTTAAAGCCACGTTCTTACGCACACCAATGTGTTCGTGGGATGCCAATTTTTTTTTTCTTCTCAAGTGATAACGCTTGATAATTGGCACCATGCAATTGTACGTGTGTATGCACACGCATATATCGATAGATGACTGCACCTTGCGAAATTATGTTACGCCGGATTTTTATCATAAGGACTTTAGAAAAGTGAGATGTTAAATTTTGTAATCTTTGCATCAAATATATTCATATATTGCATCCAATAATGTTATGTTTCAAAGTTTTTTTTCTCAACACCTGAATATTTTTTTACAAAGTAATAGTATAGTATATTCTCTTTCATTGTTTATGTTTGTATACAATTTTAAATGATATATTCAAATGATAAAATTTATTTGCAATATTTAATGTCAAAAAATTATAATGAATTACGAGTTTTCTGTTTCTTGAATGATGACTCTTAGATATTTGTAACTGTGCTAAAAAAAATAGATTACACGAGTGATAATATATTAGACATTACGAACTTGCGTTATTACATAAGAAATTAGTGAAATTTCTAAAAATTGAAGAGTGATGAAATTTTTGATAAGCATATCCTTTTTCAGTGTATAAAACCTTACAAGAAACATCTATAATTCGTTCAGAAACAAAGATGTTATTTAAGATTTGTTATTCAATGTAATTAATACATCCGATATTTTAAAAAAAAGGAATTTCAATTCAATAACATAGTTTCCGCTGGAAAATTGGCACATTTCATATCAATTTCAATATCTTGCCTTTTGTCTATCGTATGAATGACCTCCTATTTACTTATAAGATTTTGATAAGCTCGTAAACAGAATTCATAATCGCATTGATTAGATTCATTTTCAGAGTTGATGATCTGTATTATTACATAGCAATATGAATAAATCTATTTAAGCAACATGCATTTTGTGAAAACGGCGTTCACTTACAGCGTCTTTCTTTAAACATGGTTTTTTGCTGAAAAACAAAAAAAGTGAAAAATTGAAAGAAAATATTCCGTGGGCACACAGCGATGAGATTCCTTTTTTTTATTATCGGTTTCCTTATTATCCATATCGCGCAAATTCATTATTCCATACAATTTAAGCGCTGAAGTCTGATTTATCTAAAAAATATTGTCAGATTATCATTCAAAGCTCCGATTTGCGCTTTAATCCTACGTAGACATTCTGAGTTTGAACAATAAATAACGCTTCAACGAACATAGACTCATTCTGTGTTAGTTGTTAATAGTATTACATCGCAAAATGATAACAATAACTACTGTCTCGGAATCTTTGAATCTTAGAATCTTATTAAAATTCATTCCAGGGAGATTATTGAAGAGTACATCACGTTACTTCACAAAGGGCAGATGCGTTTTGAATAAAATCTTGTTTTCACACTACAAGTATAATATGAAATCTTGTGTGGAAGTCACAGTCAAGATGTGCTGAATAGCAATTTCCGTGAAAGAAGAAATTTCACACGCGATTTATCCCCTTGAGTATAATATCTTTGAGGATACAAGGTCCCCGGGTGAGGTGAAGCGTAACTCAACCAAGACAGGTTGCATCGAGATGTTATGGTAAATATACAGCGAAAGATCTCGCACCTAGGTGTGAGATCGGGCTTGAAGTTTGCCTGCGTAAACAGACGGGAGGACGGGGTTTATGTTTCTGTCTCAAATTCCTTACGTACAGGCGCATAACCCCTTCAAACCTTAATGCACCGTAACGTTTAACGACTTCGTCAAAGAGACTTCCATGACGCTGTTTGCACATCGTCTTTTAGAGGACCACGGTACCAAAAGTTTGGCAAGACGATTATCAGCACACGTATAAGCGGTCGGGTTGACGAGAACGTTAAGATTCTCCTGGGTGTGCCTATTCGCGTTCGCACATGTGTCGCCAACTCAGCACCGATCCACGCTACTTGAATAAGCAACGATGAAAAACGTCGGAACATGCAAAACGTTACGTTCGCTCTGTGATCGTAAAATGCTTTTCACGTCTAGACAATTTCTCTGTACACGTATTCTGAAATTTACTTTTGGAAGGATCGTAAACGGCGAAAGACACACTAGAGATACGATGATCAAATTGATATTATGAATGTCTCTTAAACAAGACATATTACACCTCCGCAAGAAAAGTGACACAAGTAAAAAAATACAAAATTGGTCTGAAAAGAGGAAAGAAAAAAATATTAAAATTAATTTTTATAATATTAGTAGTACTTATTAGTAGTACTTTAAAACTGATTATTTATGGCAGTTAAATTCATAATGTTAAGTTATACTCTGCAATTTAAATTATTTTTAATTAATATATTTTTATAGATCGTTACTATTTCTATTCAATATATCATTAATTTAATTAAAACATGATGTTTAATAATTTAACTCAAGAAAATATATTAATTTAACTCACTTTAGTTCATTATTTACTAAGCATATACATTTATATGGATGTTATTAATTATAAAACTGAGCAATTCAGTTATAGAAATAGATTGATTTACATTTTGACATACATGGAAATTAGAGAATGGAAATTAATGACAACAAAATGTTATTTAAGTTAAAGGTTATTATTGATTTTTTAATATTTAACACTGTATTAATATAATGGTTAATCATAAGTTTAGAGATAATCATAAATTTGTATTGTAAAAAGAATTGATACTGCAGTTTAGAATAGGAATCAATCGCATCTTTGCAAAAAAGTAACCACAAGTCAAAATTTTTCAGATTTTGTTTTATGTTTGGATTGTGTTCTAAATTCATCAATCTTTATTAGGAAAAATGATACACGTTGAATTCAAATAGATAAGAATTTAAAAAACTAAAAAAATAAATTAAAATAAAAATAGTTTTTAGAGGTATGTATAACATAACATTATAACAAAATTAATATTTCAAGTTTCAAAAGTAATATTAATTTTGTTATAATGTTATGTTATACATACCTCTAAAAACTATTTTTATTTTAATTTATTTTTTTAGTTTTTTAAATTCTTATCTATTTGAATTCAACGTGTATCATTTTTCCTAATAAAGATTGATGAATTTAGAACACAATCCAAACATAAAACAAAATCTGAAAAATTTCGACTTGTGGTCACTTTTTTGCAAAGATGCGATTGATTCCCATTCTAAACTGCAGAGTATCAATTCTTTTTACATAATAATTATAATAGATGAAAGTATATTTTGCCAAATTATGTTTTCGTCAGGTACCTTCTACGATAATAAACTCCTGTACTTCTCGCTAATGCTCGCAGTAACTTACTGATAGAATTGAGTCCGTAATTGGTGTGGTAGACGGATTGCGATGGGCTGTTGATCGGCAGTCCGGAGTTGCCGAGACTAAGGCTAGAACCTAAACTTCCCGTGCTTTGTTGACCGAGTTGCCCAAAGCCACTCATCGTCATGCCGCTTTGCAATTGTCCAAGACCTACGGAACAGATGAGCGCAATTAAATAATGAGCACAAGGGAAAATTAATGCAAGGTTACGTGATGCGAGGGATTCGCAAAGAAACGAAAAGAATCGGTTAGTTATCGGTGTCATTGTCAGTACAACCGTCGGTGAACAACCGTAGCACCGATAATACGCAGTAAGTAATTTCAGCTGTCTCAGCCAGTGGACGGGCAAAATTAAATTAGGAGGCAAGCATCGTCGAGACTTCGTCTATGAGAATTGGTGTTTCCTTCTCATGTTGCTTCTTCTCCCGTTAATGCGTGAACGAGATGCTAATCATATCGCGCTTTAACTGACATGACGAATCATGTGCAATTTGCATAGACGCGGATAATATGCTTCGATTAAATATCGTGAATGAAACGTGCTTACGTCTTTGAGCGTTTCTTTAGACTTGCGTTCTAATCTCGGAGTTATTTCATCTTTTAAAATAATATTAATTTTGTAACATATGTGCATATATGTATAGAAAATGAAAACGTATTTGTGAACCAAGTAGATTAAAAATCTAAAAGTTTAGATTAAATATTGTTAAAATATTATACATTAAATTACCAATAAAAAATAACTACGAATTTCGGATACGACATTAATATTTTGAGAAATGTTTAAAGTCGACGGTTTCATTGAATGTACATTAAATTATATAAAATAACTACGAAGTACGTCGATTAATATTTTGACAAATATTTCACTGGTTTCATTGATCACTAACATAAAAGAATAAAATTTCTTGACGCTTGAACATAATTATTCATTTATACAACATTTAAATATCAAATCTATTTGATTTTGCAAAAATGAAAGAGATGATTGCAAAAGTGTAATATCGACTTTATTTAATTCTCTTTCTCTTCTCATTGTCAGTCTTCTATGTATTATCAAAATAGATTATGTAAGTATTTCATAAGACAGCGGATCAATTTAAGATGTCTAATTAGAACGTTAATGAAGAAATGAGAAAAATACGCAAGCAAACTAAAATATTATAACTAAACTAAAATATTTTTTTTCTCCATACATTTGGTATTAATTTAACGCATTATTTATAATTTCGAATTTATAAAATAAAGCAAATAAAATGAAAAAAGCATAATATTATAAAAAAATAAGTAGTTTGTGTAAATATAAAAAGTATTTAATTAACATAGTTAGCAATCTACTGACATTACAGTATATATTATATGCATTATGGAATATCATCGATACTTTATTAGTGAGGTGACATACGAAATTGATAGCTGCTACGGAAATAACTGTCGAAGAAGACAGTTTTTTAAAGCATTTCAGGAAATTCTGGTATAAATCCTCATTTTTAAACATACACAGTGATAAATATCGAGTCCTTGTGAGTAATAATGCAGGCGATCGAAAGAGCGTTTCCTGTCCTGGCCAACGTAAGCAGATAGATAATTTCTTTCTTTTTTTTTTATCTTGCGTTTCTTGGTTACGGTTAGTGATAAAAGCTATTGATATCTGACCTGTCCCCATTCCCCATCTGTCCGCAGGAGTATGAAACATTCCTGTGCACAAGTCGGAGGTCATCGGTCCGAAGGGAGGCAAGCCGTGCGACGGTAGCAGCGATCCCGAGGACCGGAACACGTTCGTTGTCTTCTTGCGCTTCTTCCACTTCGCTCGTCGGTTTTGAAACCATACCTGTAGACATACACAAGGAATTGTTATTAACAATTCGTTGAAAAAAGTACAACAATTCTTAAAACTCTAAAATAACTGGAAAACGTTTCAACCTTTTTTAATATGCGATATATTAAATAACGAGGCAAATTTCTCGAGATACACACAATTCCATTCATATAATTCCATTCATACAATTAAAATTATATCCAATTTAAGTTATTTTTAACCGTTCTATAAGTCGTTACTGCTCTTACTCAATATTAACTTAACTCAAAAATAATGGAGTATTAAACAACTTAATTTAAGATATGTGTTGAATTTGACTTACACACATACACAAATTTAGTTTATTATTTACTAAGTGCATACGTTAATATAGATGTTTTTTTTTTAATCAACTATAGAAACGGATTAATTTACTACTTGGAAATTAAAAATAAACAAAATGTACGTTATTTAACTCAAGGGATTAGGTTACCATTATATCCCTTGATATATAACAATGTACCTAACAGAACATCATTAGGTGTATAAGCTTCAGCGCTTAGCATAGATCTTTCATCAAATATTGCTAATGCATGCAGGAATAAAAAGTAAAGTTTTAAAATTTTCATCGTTTTATTTTATCGTTTTAAAAGTAATTTTGTTGCAATGATATCGTTTTGATTAAAACAATAGTAAATACAATATAATTTAGACAATTTTCACAATTTTTAAAACATTTATTATTTTAGTCTTACTTTTTTTATTCATTTCTAAATTTTTTACTTCTCTTTTTTTTTAATTTTTGCTGCAAACTTGAAGACTTTTTGTAATGTACCAATGTGCCATGGCACATTAGTTAAAAAATATCTTACTCTAAAAAAAAAATAATAAATCTTATTTTTTGTCACATTCATTCATATAACAATGTTTCTTACATTTTCACCAACGATATCTTTTATCTTTTTTTTTTTTAATTAGAAAAATTAAAAGTCTCATTCATCATTGAGTATATAAGAAAGTTGTTGAGTTAACTATTATTCTTTCTACACAATATTTTTGTTCCTGACGTGATCGAAAATCGCATATCCGACAATTTCTTTGCCCGCCCTCTCCCCCGCGATAAAATTTTTTTTTTCTCAACAGGACGCAACCAAATCCAACCATTGCGACGGTAAGATGTCCCTCGGTGTTACGACAATATCTTCGACCCCACCGCGGGTAGCTATTAGCCGACGTTATGAGCTGTTGATTCTGGCCACGTAGTGGCCCCCTAAGCTGCCGGGGTCCCGGGGACTTGATTTATTGATATCGCATGCAAAGCCCGCCTCTGTGTTCTCCGATATACCTACCCTCGCCCTATCTCGCCACCACCACCATTGCGTCAGTATCAACGTACCACGGTACTACCACCACCACTACTACTATTGCACCAATCTCTCTCTCACTCTCTCCCACTTCTATCCTTCTCCGCAGACTATAGTCCCTTTTCTGGCACGGTAGCTCGCACTATAGCCATCTCATATGTGCCTATAAATTAGTACTTTAGCATTAGAGCGCGAGATGCGCGCTTGCGCCACCATACGCACCCGTACATACCATACCACACACGCAGCGAGACACACACACACACACACACACACACACACGCACAGAGAGAAGAGTAGCACGGCAAAGACCGAGAGGGGTGGCGGTACGAAGGGTAGGTACACCCTACGCTAACATACGAGGATTATACGAATCTAATTGGATATATGGGATTTACACGCTCCAGTATATATATCTCAGGCATTGCAACGAAGCGATCGTTGCATTCTTATACTCAGGTTAATATCTAGCACAAGATTTCGGATCGATTCAACACAGGATGTTAGTATCTTTAATTTATCGTCTGCTGTCGCTTGAAGATTTATCAGTTTCAATTCATTAATTTTTTTGCATATATTATGTAGTTTCATAGCCGTTGATGTCTTCATCAGTGAAGCGATTACTATTATTTAAAAAATTTTTTTTGGATCATGATAATGCACATATAACAACTCAATTCTGTAGCTTTGTAACGACTACGTGAAATTTAGTAATTACTGGGGATCTTAAATAACTCGATGTAAAATCTGTTTATCTTTATTTCTAATCCTTTCTTATATACTGACTTATCTCTCTTAATTTTTAATTGAATACGAACAATGATGTCATTTTTGGTTAAATTAACGTTTATCGTTTCGTGATATTTGTCGAAGGCTCGTAACAGCTGGCGGGTCTCTTGACTCTCAAGGATGGACGCTCGTGACGAGAGAATGGCATTAGAGCTGGGTGGTGTTAAGTGCATTGGGACCGAATCAGCGTCTATATATCAGTCAATGGCGTAGAATCGAATGCTCTCCTCCATCTCCATAAAATTCACTACATCCTTATAAAGGCGGATATGTCTACGATTTCGTGTATGTGAATGCACGATTTCTCTCTACTGACATCACATTTGTAACTTCAAATGCAAATATACGATGATTTGATTGAAAAATTCGTAAAATTTTTAAACATTTAGATATTTGTGCATAATTGTAAAATTGTTTAATATAATTTAACGTATTTATCTAATATATTATTCAAATTATCATTTTATAAAATTTTACTGCCACAAATATTTAACAAATAGATATTAAGTTAATTCAAAGCTTAGTTAAAATTCAAAACTTACATTTACTAATTGTCATAGTATATTAGCAGTACAGTTTTCAATTCTTTATACATTTTAAAATATTTCTTCATTTTACAATAAAAAATATTTTAATATATTTTAATATTTTTTAAATTTATTTTCATTTATTTATTGTACTATTAAGTCTTTTTATTTATATATATAGAATGTGTATATATCTTTGTTCCTAAATAAATAGATCAAATAGAATAGATTAAATATATGAATAAATATAAACATCTTTGATTCAAATAAAGCATATTTATTAATTTATATTCAAAATGTCTAAGAGAATTAGAATTTTATTATAAGTGTTTTCATCCCCTGATTTTAGCTTTGTTTTTCATCCTTTAATAAACATTTTTCTTAGAATTCTTTATATAACTTTTTAGAATTTTTATGTGAATTCAGAATTTATACAATTTTATAATTTTTTAGCAAAATTCTCAGATTTTTATACAAATAGAAACATTTTTTTTTAAATTACTGAGAAAGTCTACATCTTTTCTAAAGTTTTTCATATACGAGAATTTTGAAATGTTGTAAAATTTTTAACATTAAGATTTCTTAAACATCACAATAGGCTCAACACTGTTAAATTTATAATGTCAAATCATGTATATTCATTAGAGTTATTTTTAATCATTTCTATAAGTCGCTGCTTCTATTCAATATGTCGTTAATTTTACTAGGACAATTTAATTCAAGAAATGTATTTTGATCAAATTTAGTTTATTATTTACTATACATATGTTAATATAGACATTGTTTACTTTGAAATTAATTACATAAATAAATTGATTTATATATGAAAGTTAAAAATAACAAAATGATATTTAACTTAAGAATATGAGTTACTGTTGCTTCTTTGATATCTAACAATGCAATGAATGAATACAGCATACTCAACCCAATGCAATTACTTATAACTTTCATAAAAATGAACATATTATAATCAATTTTTTTTTAAATCAAAGTACTAAACATTAAGGAGTATCAAGTAGATATATGTATATTTATTAATAAAGAAGTGGGAAAACATTAAAAAAAGAAAAAATCAGATATGTCACAACAAACAGGTGTTTAAGAATTAAGATTTCTCAATCTACAATTTTTTATAAAAACTTATAAAATCTTAAAAACTTAAGGTACTCTAGATTTCTTTCAGAAATCTTGATAAATTTAAAATAGAATTTAAAAAAACATCTAGAATTGATTCTTGAAAATATTATGAGATATTGTATTGTATTGTATTTTGTGTGTGTGTGTGTGTGTGTATGAGAGAGACTTTTTTTACTAAAATCAATGCATATTAGCAGAGCATCAAATAATATAAACATCAAATTAAATATATATAATATCTTCAATAAAGGTATCTTCAATTTTTCATGCTTTTAATACAACAAGTTTTTTATGCTTCAGAATGTTTAATTTTTACAAAATTCAGGTTTTCAATTTTTCTAATTTGTACAAAATATATAATTTTCATCTATCAATTATATACCTATATTACATTATTTTAAAGCAACTATAGCCAGCTTTTAGCCAGTCTTTTCCAGAACCACGTCGTCTTTGCGTCGATGAATCGTCTCCTGACGTGTCAATTTCACGGTAGAATTACGATGAAACCGCGACTAAAAGCCCGTGGATAATCCACCGTTGCACGCCGATATGGTCCATATAGAAGAGGGAAAAAGCAGAGAGACTGCCTACGCGCAAATCGCGCATTATCACGTACACCCTCTATCTCGCGCACAGGTGCATCGAGCCTACACACATATGGCAGAACTTCCGTTAATTAACACTGGCGGATGCTAATGACTTCTGTTACGAAATAACAACGCACGAACGAGTGCTTTCGATGAGCGTGTCCGATACCGAAAAGCCGTGCAACCGATGAGTTCTTTGTACATATATCTGAACCAAAGATTCACATTAGAGAACAAAAATTGAAAATATCACAGCATGCAAACAAGCATGCAAAATTTCGAATTTATATTTATAATAAATTTACATGTTTAATATCGTAGTAATATCGTGGATAAATTAAAGCAATTTCGAATGCATATATAGAAAATATAAAAAAAGATTTTGTCCTATAAAATTTCGAATAATAGAGTCAACAGAAATAATCGTTCTCAATGATGAAGAGTAATGACAGCTAAAAATACATCTGGAATCTTCATAATTGTAATCAATCTAATGTCCATGCTTTAAAATACGTGACAGTTCCTTTTGGAATCGAATGAAATTGACAGCTCCAGTGCTTTATATACTGAAACTCTTAATCAATGTGATTGAAACAGTATAAAGATATGTTGAATTCACTTCATAATGT